CCCATAGATTAGCTCTCATTTTCTGCACCTAACTCATGAAATACACCTGGCAATCGCCGAGCTGCTTTGCATTGCACTCCCAGGAAATCACTGCTGAAAAGGACTTGCACCTGAACCCCATCAACCTCGTCTACTTAAAGATGATTGGCTTCCCCGTAGGGCCTCTAGCCTTTTCCACTACCCTGTTCTCTGGTGGTTCAGACCATCTCTTGGGTAGATGTGGGCTGTAGAGCCTCTCCAGGGAGCTACTTTTCTCAGCAAGCTGTTGAGGAAAACAGAAGTGGGGTATTACATACGCCTCCTCAAACCACTTTGGGCAAGAGGAAAGAATGAGGTAGGGTGGAGTAGGGTGGGACTGGGTCTGGGCCTGTAGGTAGGGTGGGACAGGGTAGGAAGGGGTGGGGTTTGTGCAGGAGGAAGTGTGCCATATCTGGACATTGTGCTGGAAGGTATCTGGATACTGTTGCTTGAATTCAGGTAAGTCGCCCTTACCTTTCTGGACCTCAATGTCCTTATCTGTAAAATGGCCTGGTTTGTCTTAAAGCTCCGAGGATCCCTGTGCATGTTTCTGACCCTTTTGGATGATGTGCATTTTGGGTGACGTATCCCCTGGGTGGTGGATTTCAGTGGTTGGGAGGGGAGCGCTGCTCAGATGCGTAAGGTTTCGTAGTTTTAATAGCTGTGGTCTTGGGGAAAGTTATTTAATTTAATCCCCAAGCCTCTGTTTCTCCAGGTGTGAACTAGGAAAAGCCATCCTAGCGATGGTTGCAGGTGTGATGGAGTTGCAGTTCACAGGGAGGAAAGGGGAGAGCCACATACTGGGTAAACAAAAGGACCTCTGAGAAGCCCGAATCCAAGCTCTCCCATGTGAAGGCCACAGAAACTTGTCATCGCGAGGGAACATTGTAGGAAGTAGGCTCGCCGAGTGGAAGGGCAGAAAGAATCACCCACACAATTAAATTAATTGTCCCCTTTTATTTGTCCCCGAGATTTTGGTTGAATTACCAGAGTAAGCAGTAGGTAGGTGGTGGCTATTTTCATAATTTTGTTGACAAAGTAGCCAGGGGAGCACTCATTTACATGCAGCTGTATAGCAAGGTTAAAAAATCCCAGCGTCTTTGCTTGCCAGAATGAAAAAGCTCTTCTGTGTGTAGAGTTTGCACTTCAGGCAGGTTTTTTTTTTTTTAATCACACATGAAAATGCTCTCTTCACTAAGAACTGATAGGAAATGTATCCCCTAGCTTTCCAAAGAAAACTAATTTGTTTTTTAAAGTAGATCTAAAGTACACAAAAAATGAACAGATTAAAAGTCCAATTCCAGGGCCAAATAATATGATCCAAATAGAGATTTGGTGAGAGGTTACACCAGATTTGTCACTAGGCACATTTAAAAAAAAATCTACAGCTGAGAGAAATTTTATCCAAAAGTGTTCCTGATTACCAGTTTTTAAAAAAGCTTTCTTTTTTGTGATTATCAAGTAAAATTCTGTTGACACTTTTGGTGCTTTTTTTTTGGTTTTGTTTTGGTGTTTTAAAAACCTTTTTTCTCCCCCAACTTCACTGAACCATAGTTTACACTCATACACATCCTTTTTAAGTGTAAAGTTTGATTAGTTAAGTGGATACACCCCGTTTTTTTTTTTTAAAGAACCTCATTCTTTAATATATTTTTATTGATTTCAGAGAGGAGGCCAACGCTCTATCCACTAGGGCACAAACCAGCTAGCGCGCAGTTTTTTAAAAAAATTTTTTAAAAAGTATTTTTATTGAGAGGAAGGGGGAGGGAGAGAGAGAGAGAAACATCAATGATGAAAGAGAATTATTGTTCGGCTGCCTCCGGCACACCCCACACTGGGGATTCAGGGGCCCACACCCCAGGCATATGTCCTGACCTCCTCCTGGTTCGTAGGTCAACGCCACCACCGCGGGGTCCAGACACAATTTTTAAACCTAAGACTAATCTAAAGCTATTTATTGAATTCTATGTTCTCTGTGAGAACAAAGGTCTGAGAAATGGTCTCCTTTTAAATTTAAAAACAGTCTCCATAAAGGAATATTACTTTGCTTTGCAATACAACGCTGAAAACAGGCCAGTAATTAGAGTGATTAGTTTGTGTTGAGGAGGTGGCTGGCTCTTGAAACTAGATGAGATGAATCACAGGCCCTAAAGAGCATCTGGTTTCAACTACTGGCTGTACCGCTGTGTGACAGGCAAACTGGGTGAAGTAGACTAACATTGATTATCTCAGTTTCCTCACCTGTGAATTGGGGCTAATGGTATTATTACCTTAACTTGTGGCCGTCAGGATTAGGACAGTGCAGGCCAAAGAGCAGATGCTCAGTAAATTTTAGTTATTAGATCTGTGTTAGCACAGTGGCCAGGCCGACACAGTTGCTGCCCCCGTGAAAAGACTGGCTTTGTTCCAGGGCAGCAGTTCTTAAGCTCTTGGTCTCAGGACGTCAGTGTGCTCTTAAGAACTGAGGACCCCGAAGAACTTTGTTTATATAGGTTACATCTGTCAATGTAGAGTGCGTTCAAAATTAAAAAGGAGACATTTAGCCCTAGCTGGTTTGGCTCACTGGATAGAGCGTCGGCCTGGGGACTGAAGGGTCCCAGGTTCGATTCCGGTCAAGGGCATGTACCTTGGTTGCAGGCACATCCCCAGTAGGGGGTGTGAAGGAGGCAGCTGGTCAATGCTTCTCTCATCGATGTTTCTAACTCTCTATCCCTCTCCCTTCCTCTCTGTAAAATATTAATAAAATTATTTAAAAAAGGAGACATTTAGAAAATATTTATTAAAAAACAACAAAGCTGTTTCATAGGATCAATGCGTAGTTTTTATGAGAGAAAAGAACATTATTAAGAAAAGTTGATTCTTTTACATTTCTCCAAATCTTTTAATATCTGGTTTAATAGAAGATAAGTAGATTCCGTCCGTCTCTATGTTCAATCTGTTGTGATACATTGTTTTGGTGGAAGTATAAAGAAAACCCCATTTCACCCAGATATGTGGATGGAAAGAGGAAGGCTATTTTGATAGCTTTTCAGTGGATATTCTTTGATAATATATCAAAACTTGACAAGTAGTTTCTCAAAGCTTAGTTATAATGTAGCATCTGAAACAGTATCCATGAACTTTTTTTTTTACCCTACTATCTTAAAATACATTGCTTTCTTTTATATTTTGTTTGGATCTTTTTACCTGTGCATGACTTTGTAACCACCCAATATATTTAGGAAATATAATTCATTGAGTGATGCAGATCTTCAAATGTTGATAATTCCATTATACATATAAAAAGTTACATTTATAGTGTCACCACTGATCAGAAAAATCTTTAGGATACAGGTTTCTAAAATTCTAATTTTCTTCTTCTTCTTCTTCTTTGAGTTTTTGAGTTTCCTTGAGCCAAACTGATGACAATTGCCAGGAAGCAAGATCTCAAATGTTCCCCAAAATTCTAATTTTCAAATGAAAGCTCAAAATTTCACTGGCAGCAAATGGTAGTTTTCCTTAAAGTGACAGGCTCACTTTATCATTTTTGAGAATGTCTACCAAATATCCTAATCTAAAAGACTAATGTCTCTCAATCTTCCTTTGAAGTAAAATGGTATTCCAAGATAAGAGCAGCTAGTTCATCATACAATTGTCATATGAGACCTTCAGTGTGCAGCAGAAATGCTTTGTGTGTACTCCCCATTTTGTCACTCCTAATATTCAAAAGTTGTGTTTTTTAAGGGTTGTGATTTCAGAAAAATAAGCTTTATGGCTTCATCAAGGATATTCTCTGTTTTTTAGAGTGGGAGGGAAGGAGGGAGAGAGAGAGAGAGAAACATTAATGTGAGAGAGACACCTCGATTGGTTGCCTCCTCTATGGCCCCCCAGTCAAGGCTGGGAATCAAACCTGGGACCCAGATACTGCAACCCAGCTATGTGCATGGGCTGACACTCTAACTACTGAGCAATGCTGACCAGAGCAATCAAGGACATTTTTTTTTCTCTTAAATATATTTTTTATTGATTTCAGAGAAGAGAGGAGAGGGAGAGAGAGATAGAAACACCAATTAGAAAGAGAGAATCATTGAATGGCTGCCTCCTGCATGTCCCACACTGGGGATCGAGCCTGCAACCTGCGCATGTGCCCTTGACTGGAATTGAACCTGGGACCCTCCAGTCAGTAGGCTGACACTCTATCCACTGAACCAAACCGTCCAGGGCTCAAGGACATTCTTGAGTGAACCTAGCTTTTTGTTTTTTCCTAACTGCAACTGCATGGTGGTAAAGAAGGGAATGACTTCTAGCACGATTTGATTCATACTAAGGTACTGCAGTTTTAATCAAGTGTTTTTACAGTGAAAAAGGCAACTATCTTAGTGTTAGCTTAGTATATCTTAGTATTATTATGAAAATAGCTTAACTTGCAGACCTCTCTGAAAAAGTCCCAGGGAACCCCAAGTATGGTCCTTGAGAATCACTGTTCTAGGGAAAGACAGGCCAATTTTGGCTACAGGGGATTGTAAGTCTTTCCCAGGTGCAGAGGTACAGCTTTTATGGCTGCACAATGTAATCTGTAGTACTAGATAATACTGAATATACAGTACCTATCACTTCTACATTACGTCACAATGTGCCCGGCACTTTTCTAGGGGTGGATATAAAAGTGTGTGTGTATATCTATGTCTCCCTCCTTTCCTTTCACTGTTTCATTTATACCTACAACAACCCTATAAGGTAGATTTTTTTTTTTTTAACACAGAGAAGGAACCTGAAGCTTAGAGAGGTTAAGTGATTTCTTCAAAACCAAGAAGACCAAGCTCTTGGTACCACTGAAGGGTGAACTGAACCCTGGAGGCACTTTAGCCATTGCTTGCTATGAGGAAATGGGGGTGGTGCACATCATCTCAAGGGAGAAGGTGCAGGGCTGGACGGGCCACCATTGCTGGTGTCCTCTGGGTCCTTGTCCTGACCTCTGCTCTCTGCCCTTTGCCCTTGGCAGGATGACATCCCGGGAGCAGCTGGTGCAGCAGGTGCTCCAGGAGCTGCAGGAGGCGGTGGAGTCCGAGGGCCTGGAGGGTCTGGTGGGCGCTGCTCTGGAGGCCAAGCAGGTCCTGTCCTCCTTCACCCTCCCCACCTGCCGGGAGGGCGGCCCCAGCCGCCAGGTGCTGGAGGTGGACTCGGTGGCCCTGAGCCTGTACCCAGAGGACGCGCCCAGGAGCATGCTGCCGCTGCGCTGCCAGGGCGAGGGCAGCCTGCTGTTCGAGGCGGCCAGCCTGCTGCTGTGGGGCGACGCGGGCCTCAGCCTGGAGCTGCGGGCGCGCACCGTGGTGGAGATGCTGCTGCACAGGCAGTACTACCTGCAGGGCATGATCGACTCCAAGGTGATGCTACAGGCCGTGCGCTACTCGCTCTGCTCCGAGGAGTCCCCCGAGATGACCAGCCTGCCGTCCGCCACGCTGGAGGCCATCTTCGATGCGGACGTCAAGGCCACCTGCTTCCCTAACAGCTTCTCCAACGTGTGGCACCTGTACGCCCTCGCCTCCATCCTTCAGCGCAACATCTACTCCATCTACCCCATGCGCAACCTCAAGATCCGGCCCTACTTCAACCGCATCATCCGGCCCCGCCGCTGCGACCACGTGCCGGCCACGCTGCACATCATGTGGGCTGGCCAGCCCCTGACCAGGCACCTCTTCCGCCACCAGTACTTTGCCCCTGTGGTGGGACTGGAGGAGGTGGAGGCTGAAGAGGCTACCTGCTTGGCCCCTGCTCCTCCGGCCTCAGCTCCTCCTGCCCCGGCTCCTCCGGCTCCTCCTGCCCCGGCTCCTCCGGCTCCTCTGGCTGCAGCGCCAGCTCTAGCTCCGGCGCCACCGCCAGCCAAGACCCCGGAGCTGCTCACCCAGGAGCCTGGCCTCAGCTACTCCCACTTCTGTGAGCGCTACAGCGTCACCAAGAGCACCTTCTACCGCTGGCGGCGACAGTCCCAGGAGCACCAGCAGAAGTTGGCCACCCTCTGCTCAGCCAAGCATGTCCTGCAGGACAGTGTCCGCCGTGGGGGCATCATGTCACTGCAGCAGTTTCTCCAGCGGTTCCCCGAGATCTCCCGCTCCACCTATTATGCCTGGAAGAATGAGCTGCTAGGCACTGGCACCTGCCAGCCGCCGGCCCCCAAGGAGGCGCTGGGCGTGGAGGAGCAGGAGAAGCTGCCAGAGGAGCCGGCTCCCGAGGGGCTGGGGTGCTCCATGCTGCCCGGGTCCAGCCCCGGAATGGTCCTCATGCAGCGGGCCAAGCTGTACCTGGAGCACTGCATCTCCCTGAACACACTGGTGCCTTATCGCTGCTTCAAACGCAGGTTCCCTGGCATCTCCCGCTCCACCTACTACAACTGGCGCCGGAAGGCCCTCCGGAGGAACCCCAGCTTCAAGCCGGCCCCGGCCGTCTCCACAGCCCAGGCTCCCCAGCCAGTATCTGTTGGGGAAGAGGCTCTGCTCCCTGAGAAGGGTGAGGTGGGAGAGGGGCCAGGGAAAGCAACAGGTGTGGGGGGGTCACCCACCCCCCAGGAGTTCCTGCCCCCGAGGATGCCCCTGTCCCGTCGGCAGAGGCGTCTGCGCAGGGCTGCCCGCAAGCAGGTGCTCAGTGGGCATCTCCCCTTCTGCCGTTTTCGCCTCCGCTACCCTAGTCTGTCCCCCTCCACCTTTTGGGTCTGGAAGAGTGTTGCCCGGGGTTGGCCCAGAAGCCTGTCCAAACTCCAGATCCAGGCTCCTACCCTGGGCAAAAGCGGGGTGCAGGAGGCTGAGGCGAAGCGAGAGGAAGAGGCTGGCAGGAATGTGACAGCTGCCATGGTCCCAGCTGCAGGGACCCCAAAGGTGGCAGCTCCTCCAGGAGAGGATCCAGGGAAGGCCCAGGAGGGTCCTTCCAGAGAGAGGGCCCTGCCAGAGGGGGCCACGGCCCAGGGGTGGCCCCACAGTGGGTCCTGGCCCAGCCACCCTGTGGTGGCGGCGGCAGGTGGCAGGGACAGCCAGGCGCTGATGATGGACATGCTCGCCACCACGAAGTTCAAGGCTCAGGCCAAGCTCTTCTTGCAGAAGTGCTTCCAGTCCAAGAGCTTTCCCTCTTACAAGGAGTTCAGCGCCCTCTTCCCCCTCACCGCCCGCTCCACCTACTACATGTGGAAGCGAGCCCTGTACGACGGCCTCACCCTGGTTGATGGCTGACAGGGTGATGCAAAGGGGCTGGGAGCAGGGGGACCAGTTTGGAGAGGGTCAGGGACCTGAGTTGCCCCTGGCGTGGCCAGGATGCGCCTTGTTCTGGCTCCCACAGTGTCTACCCTGAACCCAAAGGCAGATTTGTGTTGTTTCTTGGCCCCAGGGCAGAGAGAGAGCCAGACCTCAGCCATTGGGTCTGCTGCAGAGAGTCACAGGACCAGCAGCGGTCTCTTCAGTTGTTTGCCCTTCTTATTTTGATTGTGTCTTGGATTTAGTGTTTTATTTTGGTTTAAGTGGGTTGGCTGGGCCCTCTTGCTGGTATTGGAAGCTGTATGTGTTGGGGGGAGGTCTGGAAGAGGGTTGGTTAGCTAAAGCTGCTTTCAGTTTTGTTTTTTTCTGGGGACAAAAGGAGTATAATGGCATGGCCATCTGCCTCTTGGGCAGAATATACGTCTTCAGTTGCTTTTGGGACTTGGCACTCTCCTTACTCAAATGCATTTCCCTAAGGAGCATCAGAGATCAAACATGGAGCTTCTGAGTGGCATCCCCACGGGGAAGGGAGTGGGGCTCGGTGTGAGCAGGAGCAGGATGTCTAGGAAGAACAGGGGCCTCTGAGGGCTGGCTTGTTCCTTGCGAGCAGTGTGGTCAGGGGCTGAGGGAGAGGCTCCCGAGTCTCTGCTTGCTGGTGCCTGGCCCCTCTGCAGTCCTCTGCCAGTCGGGCTTGCTTTTGGGGAACCCCTGTCTTTGCTGAGCCTCTCGTCAGAGCCTGGGCCCCATCTTCAGGGAGGGACCGCACAGTGGCCAGGCAGGTGAAAGACTTGAATTTGCATTGTCCTAGAATGAAGTTGGAAAACTGAAGAAATAAAATGATGTGGTGCCCACAGCCCTTGGTCTCTGGTATTTGTTCTGCTGGGAGAAAACTGCCCATTCGCATATTCTCCTTGAGTTTAAGGGGTCTGAGAGTGATCGTTTCTCTGTCTTCTGGGTCACTCCTAGGTTCAGGGCTTGGAGAATGAGGGGGCTGATTCTGGGCATTCTGTTTAGAATTGGATTTAAAAGTTGGGTGTTCTTCCAGCTGGGGGCGGGGCTACGGCTGCCTGGAAACTTGCCTCCCAGCAATGGGAGAAAACTGGCTGAGTGCACTCAGAGGCCAGGCCAGGGAGAGGGTCAAGTCTGCCATGAGCCCAGGCCGGATGGGCCCAGTCTTTGATAAGAAAACTGAGAGATTCGTTTGCATGCCCCTCCCTCCAGTGGGGCTGAGCTTTAAGGCCAGGCCTTTGCTTGCTGTCTTCCATGTGGTTTGGGGGAGTCATCCTTTGTTCTGCTATTTTTTCACTCCCACATTCAACCCATCAAGTCCTGTTGACTCTGACTCCAAAATATGCCTAGAATTCCCGCTCTCATGCTGCTGCCATCATTCCTACTGGTCCACATCTTAGCTTCCTACAAGTCTTCCTGCTTCCACTCTTGCCCCATATAATCCGTTCTCCATAGAGCAGCCTGAGAAATATTTAAATAAAATCTGATTCTGTCCCTTTTCTGTCTAAAATGTTGAGTGGCTTCCCTTCACTCAGAATTCTTTGCACTGCCTTACAAAGGCCTTCATAATCTGGCCCCTGACTTAAAAAAAAAATGTTTTTATTGATTTCAGAGAGAGGAAGGGAGAGATATAGAGAAACATCAATGTTACTTTGTAGTCCCTTAACTTTCGGTGGAGGGACTGGACTGCTCCTCCTACCTGGCTTGCAATGACCGCCTATAGCCAGAAGGTGGCAATCTGATGCAGCAAGAGACAGATTCTGGGTTTCCCGTAGGCACAGCTGTTTCCAACCCCCAATCTACCCCCCTTTACTGGTTTGGCTGTCAGAGGGTGGCTCTAACCTTGCTTCGGAGAACTGCCCTGCTTGGGGCTCAGTATTTTCTTGTTCTATTCCCTGCTCTTAGAACCAAAGCAGATCTGATGGCAGGAGGTGTTTCACTAGGGGGTCTAAAAACCACCTGGATGGAAGACCCTGGGGAGCTTGTTAGTAGTTGCGATTCCAGGGCCCCACCCAGATCTACCGATTCTCACCTTAGACATTGAAGAGGGTGAGTTACTTGGCCTTGCTGTGCCTTGCTTTCTCCACCTGTAAAATGGGGATTACAGTGATGCCTATAATATTGCGCCTCGCTAGATGAGCATTTGCTATTGGTAAAAACGTGGACTAGTTTGAGAACCCCTGGATTTTTAGGAGGAAGCTAATGCCTAAGGAGAGGTTGCTCAAGGTAGGTTACCAACTAGATTTAAGACACTCCTGTCCGAAAACCAGTAGGTCTGTCAGAGACCAGCACTGAGCCCCAAACCCATAGAGAAGATAAAACTGATTAGTCAATATTGATTTGGACAAGGTTTTATAAGTCTGGTTAAATTATTCTTATATAGAAAAGCAGGGCTGTTGTTTTTTTAATCTGCTTAGAAACACAGAAACACATAAGCAGTGACTATATTTGCTAAGACTATTTCATGCTGGTTTTGAAGTTGACATTTGTTGAAATTATTTGTATTTTCTTGCACCAACTTCTATCTCTGATGCACAGGTAGAAATGCCATTGAAATGAACAATGAATAAGGGAGAAAACAATATTTGAGGTTAGCTTTATATTTCCCAACGTCTTGTGCTCTTAGCAAGTGACACTGGTTCTGAAAATTTTGAATATAAAAGCTTCACCATAAAAAAGCAATCAGGTGAAATGTGAATAATTTAAAAATATTTTTATCTATGTATTTATCCCCTGGGGACAGGGTCCTGTATTTGGTGGAGGTCATCTTATCTATCATAATGCCCGAAGCTTCTTAAATATTTATCTGGAGTCCAGCTCTCAGGCCCCTGGGTAGCTCTTGGGCCCCAAGCATCCACCTCATATCTCAACTGCCCCTTCTGGATGGATGTTCCACCAGCACCTCAGTCTCACCATCTGGAAATCTGGGCCCATGCACCCATTTCCCACCAACCTGTTCTCTATTTTTCACCCTGGCTGCTGCCAGCATCAGGTTACCAGCTGAGCTGGCTAAAAAGCGGGGCATCATCCTAGAATTTTCTCTTCCCCATCATCCCACCAGGACCCTAGGAATACTGCTCGGTTCATAAGATTCCACGCTGCTGGGTTATCACAGGAAGAGAATTGGATTGGCCCAGTCCGCCCCACTCCTACCCCCTTTCCTCTGAGCACAGCTCTGAAAGCCAGGTCATAATTGAGGCCACTCTCCTGCCCAAGTCTGGTCCAGTCTGTGGCTGCATCAGCTTTGCTCGCAAAGGGGTCTGGCAGAGGTAATAGGCTCCTCTCCAGCATCCCACGATTGGCTGAGCCCTGTGCTGTAAACTGAGGATACAGAGCTATTTGGCCTCCACTCTTATCCTCACAAAGGCCTTGGTTTGCTGGCAGCTGTGGTCTGACACAATACGATAGAGGCTTCCATATGGAATGCACCGAAAAGCACCATGGGGTTGCAAGGAAAGCATATGCTGGCTTGGGCATCTCATAGCTCATCTTGACACCCTTCCCAACTTGGAGCTTCCTGGGGCCAACTCTGCTCTGTGAACAGCAGGCTGCCTGCGGGTCTCTGGGAAACGCCTCAATTATTTCTCAGGCGATCCTGGTCGCTGATTGTAAGATACCTCGGTTTGGTGGCTGTGAGGGAGGGTGGGAAGCTGAGGGACAGGTGCTCTGACGCAAGGCAGTTGTTAGGATGGGGCTGAAAGGCCTAGGGAGGCAGAGTTGGGGAATGTGTTTCAGGGGAGCCGCTGTCTGCCTCGCTCACTTCCTGACTGCTACAGGAAGGTTCTAGAGCAACGGTTCTCAACCTGTGGGTCGCGACCCCTTTGGCGGTCGAACGACCCTTTCACAGGGGTCGCCTAAGACCATCCTGCATATCAGATATTTACATTACGATTCATAACAGTAGCAACATTACAGTTATGAAGTAGCAACGAAAATAATTTTATGGTTGGGTCACAACATGAGGAACTGTATTTAAAGGGCCAGAAGGTTGAGAACCACTGTGATGTCTCCTTCCCAGCCCTGGCTGATGACACCCTGGGATGCCTGTAGAGTGTCCCTAGCAGGTACCTAAATGTTCCCATCACTGGTTTATCTCATGGAAGAGGAGGAGGAAGCTTTCAAGGAGACCAGGAGTGGCAGAAAGTAGGTTTGATGGTATAAAAAAAGCTCCCGTAGAAAATGGCTTTGAAAATAGCATGGAATCCGCTTAACTCTGGTGGTTCCTCCCTGCCAGGCAGAGAAAACTTGGGTGGGTGGGGGGACCTAGATAGGGGACAGCCAGGAAGAGACGGGGCAGGCAGCTGCTCATGTGTCCCCCTCTGCCTGAGGGGACCATGGGATGGCAGAGGACAGGCGGCTGCAGGGCATCCTCCTCATTGCCTCTCCTGTTCCGGATTCGGGCAGGGGAGAGGCCAGGGTCGGGCAGGAGGGAAAGCACAGCCTGTCGGGAGTGGCTTTGTGGTCCACTTGCCCCCGCCCAGCCTGGCTCAGTGCCAATGTTGTTTTGTGGCCTGTGCATGTTGACAGTCAGCCACTCTCAGTTTCTAGGCCCCCTGACTTTGGGCAGAGTTATCTGTTGTCATTGAAGACAGAATTGGGGGGAAATGAGGGCTGGCTAGGCTGCATTGCAGTGCCCAAGACAGGTCCCGATGACTGTGGGTTCCACCGATCCTCAGACCTCATCTTCATGGGGACAGGAGGGAGGCTGGTATTTTTGGGTGAGTTAATATTTCCTTCCTTCCTTCAGTTCACATTTGTTGAGGCCTGAAGGTGAGGGAGGGCAAGGTTACAAAGCTCAGTAAGACCTAGCGCCCCCTGGAGTTGTTTAGAAACATTGACTACATAACTGGTCCTCAATCCTAAATTCAAGGATTCTCAGGGCAGTGAGTGTAGTTTGCAATTTTATGTCTTCATTCAGAATTTCAGATGACAACCTTAATTCATTTTATTCGATAAAGACAGAACCCCTT